AAGATTGAAATCGGGCTAAAAATAAAAAAATCTACAGCGGCTACCGTTTTTTTAAAAATCACCGTGTATAACGGTGCCTGTTTTTGGTAAATTTAACTCAATTTTTTAAAACAATGTAACAGACTTTGAAGAGCTAACCTCAGGAATCATATTTGTTTACAATTTAAGTTGATGAAGTTAAAGGCTGCGCTCCAAATTTAAATTTATTCGTCGAACAAAACCCTCTGTATTTCAAAAAATATAAACATTCGGTTAAGACAAGTTGAGTTAATTTTGATTGAATAACTGAATATTATTATTAACAAGGGCTAACACAAGTTCTAAAACCGTCAAATTTAAAAATATTTTTTGGTAAAACTACAGAAAAAAAAAGTAGATTTCCAGTTCAAAGTGGATGATGTGTTTATTTTGTAATTACATTTTTAACAAATTTAAAAGAAGCTCGAAATTAACTCTTTTTATTCAAAAAAATTATTCTAGTCTTTCGGATCATTAAAAATCCCACCAAAACAGTTATTACGGACGAATTGAATTATAAATTTTTCTATTTTTGAGAGATAATTACCTGTCAATATGTCCGGTGCTGTACCCAATAAGAACAAAATTTCCACAATGCGTCAAGCACAAACTTGTCGCAGCAACGTCTTGAAACCCACTAGAAACCAATTTTTTCTTGTGAAACCTCTCTGGAAGCAGCTTTAATTCTCCCATCTTCACTTTATCGTAGGACCAAGTGGTGACCATGGGTATTCCCAAGTGTACAGCGGCGATATTGTCCCATTCTTTCTCTCTGGTAATTTCGGAAGTAAATTGGATGATTGGTGGCATTACTAAGGGATCTTCTGCAGTTCTCCCGCGCTTCTTTGACGCTTTCCTATTGTAAGAGGCTTTTCCTAAACTTTTGTTGAATTGTTCCGTTTGTGTATTAAATATTCTGAGTGTTGAATCTCCAGCGGAACTTAAAATGTTGTGTCCATTAGCACCATGAAATCGGATATACGAGGGTGGTGATGAATGGCCTTCTCTTATTCTTAGGAGTCTAGCACCACCATCTGACATGTCAAAAATCCATAACTTTAAAGTATTGTCTGGAGATGAAGTTAGGATTAATGGTTCGTTTGGAAGACAAACCATCCCTGTGACGCTGCCGTTATGAGCGGAAAGTAATTGACACGCGACGCGTCTTTCTTCCAAATCCCAAAATACTATATGGCCAATCACACTTCCTGTTGCCATTATTGGACTACCATCGGTTCTAAATGATATCGAAGTGACGACACCCCAGTCTTGCATAAATTCCATTATTGTTTCATCGTATTTTAAATTGTGTAATACGATTTTACCGGAAGCTAGACCAACTGCAACAACATCAATTGCTGGCGCTTGTTCTAAGCAAGTAATAGGGCTTTTCCATCTCTTAAATGAATAAATCATCTTCAAATTATTTACATTCCATAACTGCATTTCTCCCTGTTCACTTCCCAACAAAATCTTATTAATGTAAGTACTGGGATGGCAAATTGTGGTAATATGAAATGTCTTGTTACTAAATGTGAGTTCAAGAAAAACACTTTCATCTTTAATATCCCATACTTTAACACTACTGCTTTCATCAACTGAAATCAAGTGAACCCCAAAAGGCATCATTAACTGAACTGGTTTCTTGTGGCCTCTATATACATGTTTCAACTCAGTGCCTCTTCTCCATGCATAAATTTCATTGTTGCACGCTGTATATACATGGAAAGCGTCAGCAGTCATTGCAGTTATGTCTTCGGGATGTAAACCACCAACACTTAATAGGCTAAAGTGAGTTATTCCGTATGTATGAAAAGATTTTCCCACACATGTTACTATTAAATTTTCTTTGCGACTCTTTATGTAACGGACCTGAAGCGGTATGTGGTTGCTTATATATCCCAGGCTGCGACAGGGTAAGAATATTTTGCTCCCTTTAGGCATCTTTTGTCTGTATGCGTAAATTCAAATCAGTAAACACAACACACGTGGATTTTGTAGGTTAGGTGAAGCAAAGTCAGAGTTAGGAAGTGCCAACCAAACAAACAACGAACATAATTAGATTTTCATAATTTCGTAAAATGTAAACTTGTTACTTTGTGTTTGGATAAGCCGATTGTATGAATTAAAAAAATCTAGCGGTTAAAAATGTTAACAAGGCAATTTTCAAGAAAATTATGATTGACTTTAAGCACGTTTGGTTGGCGTCATTGTATGTCAAAAGTCGTATGAATTGTCAATTGTCATTTTCTGTGACAGTCATCTAAAAATAAACATTTTACCGGTTATTTGTTAATTAATCAGTAATTGGAACTAAAGCACATAACCATGACAGGTGTAAATTTATTTTTGTTAGTATTTCTGTTGGTGAAGTGTGTGATTTGCTTGGAACGTGAAATGACAGTCAACGTTGAGGCTAGGAGAGAAGACTGCTTTTTCCAGCCAGCCAAGGCAGGAGACACCATTGATTTTGAATATCAAGTAATAGATGGGGGTCACGGAGACTTGGACATCACATTTCACCTCGTGGACCCAACCGGTAGGATTTTGGTGGCTGATTACAAGAAGACTGAGAACAATCATCGAGTCGATGCTGCCATGAATGGAGACTACAAGTTTTGTTTCGATAATTCGTTTAGTTCGTACAACACAAAAACAGTTTTTTTTGAAATGATTGTTGAAGGTGATGATAATTCGGAGTGGGATGATGAAAATATCGACATGCTGGGACTAAGGCCTGAAGATGTTTACGAAATGAAGGTTCAGGATATTCAACAAGTTATTACTAACGTTAGAAACCATTTAACTAAAGTGAGACATATTCAGGATTTGTTGAAATCAATTGAGGCAAGAGACAGGAATGTAATAGAAGAGAATTTTTTTAAAGTTAACACGTTTTCAATGGTGCAGATATGTACCATGCTTGTGGTTGGATGTATCCAAGTTGTGATGGTTAAAAGTTTGTTTGATGATAATTCAAAAGTGCACAAGATATGGAAAAATTTAAATAGGAGATAGTGATTTTGCGTTAAAGATAAACAGATGTAAATGATTTTAGACAATTTAACCAGTGCAGTGATTAATAAATTCCTCGTTAAATGATATTTGAGAAAAAAAATTAAACCAAAGTTGATTTTGTAGTGCCATGGTGTATGTGCTAGTCAGAGATATTATCACAAAGCAATAAAATATTTTAGTTCTTTATTTATTACTGCAACTGTTTCATAATACATTTTATACAAACTAAAAATGTATTTTTATGAACCCACAACGGATTGAATAATAAATTGATTACATTTCTTATGATGATGTTTTCCTTGCTACTGTTGTAATCCAGTCATCTTTATGAGTTGGTTTCGTGTAAACTTTAACTTTTGGTTTTTTCCTATGTCTCCTAATGGAAGGTTCAATGATGTTTCGTTTTTGCAAACTCTTGAACCTGTCAGTAAGTAAGTTTCCTTCCTTTTTAAGGTTCCGCAAATTTCCCGCTATATCTGAACCCATGTTGAACTCGAATTCGCTTTCCTCAAATTTAATTGCACTCAAACGTTTAGGTTCTGTCTTTTTCAATTCTTGCACTTTCTTTCGCTTTTCTCTCAAGATTTGTGTGGTTTTTTCCCGTTTTTCTATTTGTGTTTTCAGGAGTCTTATTTGGTGAATGTCTGAAATTTTCTTTTTTTCCTTCTTAGCAACTTGTCTCAGTAATTCTAGTTTTTTTTGTTCTCTCAATTTGCGTCTCTGCTGTTGGGTCTTCTTACGATTTTTTGTTGGTGGATTGACTGATTTGTATTCTCCGTCACTCTCATTATCGCTTTGTTGCGTTGAGGCTTGAGGTAAACCTTGAGACATTTCCTCCATCCACATAGACTGAAAAATACTCTTGTAAAATCTTTAATTGCTAATATTACAACTCACATTTTTTTGCTTTTCTGACACTTTACTAAACATGTCTCTTGTAACGCGATTCAGGTGTTCTTCTTCTTTGATTATTTTTATTTCTTTTTCAGCAATAGTTTTAAGTAGATCTTGGTGGTCTTCGTAACTGGGGTTATAAGACATACCCGGGTGAGGTGACTCAACTGAGGGTAAGATACTTGATTTTGGTCTTTTGGGGGTTTTAACAGTTTTTCGGGATTTTCCAGTTCCAACCAAATTATGTTTAGTTGTACTATTTGAGAACCATTCATTTTTCTCATTCAAAATGTCTTCTAAAAATTCAACAAAAATGTTTATGAACGTATTGCCTTGTATTGTAATAATACCTTCACTCCAAATATTTTGATTAAAATCTCCTCTTTTAGGTATAGTCTGTTTCTTGTTTTCATTAACTTTTCTATCATGCAGAGCTTGTAATTCTCTGTGCTTTAAAATACCTTTTGCACGATTTTCTGCTTCTTTCTTCTTAATTAATTCATTTTTTCTCTCTTCTTTACTTCTTACGCGATTTCTGAAATATAAAAGTAAAAACACGCAATTATGTATGTAATAGAATACCTTTTTGTAATTGGATCCGGAACCTTAGTGTGAGGTTCCAAAATTGAAAAACACTTTGGAGGTTTCTGTAGTTTTAACTTTTTACGATTTCTTATTGAAATCGGTTCTGATTTTGCCGGTTTCGTATCTACTTGAAATAATTCATCATTGTTCAAGGTTGCTAGTGGGGGCCTAAGTTTCGTATAAATAAGATAAATATTCAAAGTAATTGCTAATTGAATTATTCACCCTAAACGTTCCTCAAGTCGTTGGTCTTCCAAAAATTCTTCTACGTCAGTAATATTCACATGTTTTCGCCACGATAATTTGGACTTTTTCGATACGCGTTTTCTTTTTGTGATCGGCATAATTGCTATGTTGTTTCTTCTTAATTTATTACAGAAAAATGAAATTACCACATGTTTCAAATACACGCTATAACCTCAAAAACATGTTTAAGTTGTAGTTAGCCAACACATTATCTCAGTTTGTATGATGTGTTGCATATACTTTCGAAATTATTTTTTGACCTTCTGCTTCAATTAATTAGTTATTTAAGGGCATAAATAGAGATTGTGAAGCATTATTTAAAGCTTGACACTAATAGAGCTTTTAATTTTTTTAAGACTATAATTGACTATTATACTTGTGGCACATTTGCGTTTTATTGGATTTTGGATTACATTTTGCTTTTCTCAAATAAGAATTTAATATTTCTGGCAAATTTAATGTAAAAATCGAGATCGCTATTTTGCTCAAGACCAAGGACCTATAAAAGCTAAATTATGCCCACTTTTGGGTGTTTAGAAACAAGTTTATAGTTCGAAAATACAGTAATTTTAAAATACAACCTTGTTTCAAATCATGCGCATATTCCTATTAAAACGTACATAAGTTCATGATTAACTATGAATTGTTCTATTTGGGGTTTTTAATAAATATGAGGCTTGTTTAAAGGTTGCTTTATTTAATAAACATGTAACGAAACTGATATTACAATCTATAAAATACAAACTGAATTTGAATTATCACAAAGATTATGTAAGTGGAAAACTATGGCTATGCTATATATCATTACAAATTTACAATTCTCCACCAAGGAGTTTCTTATCAAACAAGAATTCGCCAAGAGCTCCATGTTTATCCATAAATTTGCTGAGTGTGGAGACTTTTCCTGCAATATCCCTTTGTCCTTTGTACTGTTCTTCCAAGAATTCTCCAGTCAGATAATCAACCAAATGCCAATCGTTGGGTCCAGGTTGGTCCTCACAGACTTTAACAACTCCTTTAATCTTCTTAGTGACTTGGGCTTCAAGCTGGAGAGCATTTTTCAAAGCTTCCAATCCAGAATCCCATTCGGTTTTTTCAACACCAATCTGAAAATTCGCGCCATGTTTAGGGTTTTTTGTTTCATCACTAACTGGTAAAAAGTGACGTTTATCAATTTATCATTTAAATTTTTTTCAAAAATGCGACTGGAAGTTTTCAAAAAATAACACTTACATAGCTATCAATTAAAGTGCTGACGTCAGAGATAAGTTCTCCTCTCATCAACAAATAGGAAATAAGTTTGATGGCATGTTGTCTCTCTTCAGAAGCCGCTTCAAAGAACATCTTGGCGAAGCCTGGCCTGTTGACGGTGTCCCTTGCAAAGTGGGCCCCCATGGCCAAGTACTGCATGGCAGCACGGAGTTCGGCTTGGATTTGCGTTCGCATGCTGTTAATGCATGAATGTTTCATATCAGTCCAATTTGGATCGGTCTTGAGCTCTTGTTGCGTGTGGGAGCCTTTAAAACAGGTGTTAGTACTTTGAGAAATATCAAGCGGAATAAAATCACTTACATTGCAATTCCTCGCCTTTGACAAGGGCGAAAGTGCACAACAACAAAGTGGCTGCAATGATTGCCTTCATTTTGCTTTTCTTTTGTAGATTGATCAAAGTAGAACACTTTTTTTCTGATAAGCGCGGTCGTTCTTTAGTCTGCCTTTACACTCACTGGTGCAGAAGGTGACTATCGAGAAAATCTAAATAACAAAGAAAATGATAACCAGACTGTTCTACGCACTCGGAAATTACACTTTGATACCACCTCCCAATGAAAATACTCGAATTTTACTGGAAATTATCTCCCCCACCAACCTTGACTCGGCACATTCTTCGCTTTTGGGGCCTGTCAGCGGTGCGCAGTGCTTTATTGCGTTTGTCATTTAGGTTCAAAATCGTTGGGGAAGTGCGCAGTTAAAGGACAAAGTGCTGTTTTTGTGTGTGATTTTCTGTTATTCGTGATTACGCTGGCGAGATACCAGGTATGTATATTCGATTGTTTTTAAGCTCTAGACAGTTTATGTTTAATCCAGATTTTAATTTGTTAATGTTTAGGGATCATGAAGGTGTTCGCAGTTCTTGTTGCTTTCTTCGTTGCTGTTGCTACGGCACACGAATCCTGCTACTCACAAGTCGATCAGGCATGTTCCAAGATTAATAGCAAACCTGGTAAGTAATGGATTTCACCATTATTTCAATTCACATAATTATTCTAACAAACAAAATCGTTTTATGATGATATGAAATGTAGAGATAAGACACCCAGTTATCATGAGTTACTCATTTTGCAACATACTTTGATCTCATGTTCTTTTGTTTTTATTTTCGGTTATTTTTATACACCATGACGAGACTAACATTGTTTTTCTATAGTAATATGCGTTTTAATTAATTGAATAAGGTTTTACAAGGTTTTGTTTAATAAAAAAAATAGCTGAGGTTGCATAGCTTGATTCTATTTGTTTCAAACACAACTTTCTTATTTTTAATTTAATTTACCGAAACTGTATTTTATTATATATGGATTTTCATTGATTAGACCGTCATTAACAAAAAAAAATATTTGAGGAAGTGATAGCATAAAACAAATGCATGACAAAGATGGCAGGCGGTAGAATGTTTTAGAAATTTTATTTCTACTAATAATATTGCGGATTGGAGTTGTAAATACATATGCGATTTAAATCAAATATAAGCTGATTTTCAAAGTAGTTAGTAGAAATTTAGAAATGATTGTTTTTTTTACAATATTTATACATGTCTTTATTATCTACTGATCTCAGTTTCTGTTCAGTTGAAATTTAAAATAAATAATTAGAAAATTAAAATAAAATTTATTATTGGTGTGTTTATACTTAAGCGAAATCGAAGTGTCCTCTGATGACTTTGAAATTAAGTTGGCAACTTCAACTATCAAATTAACTAAGTCATTTGTCTTTATTTATTTTCTAGGGACGGCCGCCACCTGACAATCTAATATCACCAATAATTCTGTGCTACTTACCATTCGTTATTGTTTTCGTTAAAGAAAACAGTTACTTTAATAAAAAAAGCATTTTTCTTAACAAACAACCAATGTTGAATCACAAAATATTTCACTGAATTTGTGGTTTTTGAAATTCTTCAAGCTAAAAGTCTTTCAAGTTGCATTTGTTCCTCAATTTTTCATTAAAAGGTTCATTTTTTTAAACAAATACATATTTTAGTTTTTAAAATCGTTAATTCTTTTGTAAACATCAGGATACTAGCCTATCAAATATACTATTTGATAAATATTGATTACTTCTTTGTTAATTTAGAGATAAAACTTCATGCATAAAATTATTATGCAGTTATTATTAAAGAATGCAACAATTTCTTTTACATCTATGAAAGAGGCAATTATTAATTAATTGTCATTATTAATTAAATTAAAATTGGAGTATTCCAAATTTAGAAATTCCATAATTTTCTCTGCAGTTTCTTGCCCAGAAGTATGTTTTGACAATACTACTATAACGTTGAGTGTCCCACATAAGATTTTCGGGGTGAATATCTCTGTTATTTGTCAACGGATTTTTGTGAAATTTCAAATGTAGATAACTTCTAAACATATTTTCTTAATTTAAAATTAAGCGAAACTATTATTGAATTGTTAAGAATTAAAAACTAGACCTCTACACAAAAAAAAACTAACTAAATCACTTGTCTTATTTTGGTAAAATGTCGCCCTATTTTTTATAGCTATTAAGACAACTAGAGTTTTAAAGTATAAAACTCGTGTTGTTTTCAAGATTTTTTGCAAAACTAATATTGAATCAGAAATGTTACTAAATTCAGAAATTATTATAAAGAAGTAAGTCAGACATCAGAGGTAAGCTTAAATGCACCAATAGAAACAGTATAAGGTATTATTTTTTTATCAAAGTTAATGCTAAAACAATAGTCTAACGGCTCCAAGTACCATTTTGTACGATCCTTAAGATAGAACACTTAGAACTTTTAAAACCATTGATGCCAATGGTGGTACCTGCGAGTACCTGCAATAAACGTCAAATATTAATGTTATTCTCGCCCGACAGCCACGAGTGCGAAAATTCAGTAATATAGTTCTTTTTTTTTATAGCCGCCCATGTTTTTGCATCAGCAGCCACTTTTAACACAAATTCATTCTTTTTTCTTTCAAAGACAGATTTGTGCTAATAGCATTTTTTGTTGGCGATTATCAATTTTATATAAATTTTAAGTAATTGAACATTTTTTAAAGGCATGTTAAAATCTCATTTTAAGGGTTAGGGTTGTTTTAGTAATGCCATATTAATTACTAGCTAAAACTCTGTATTTCACATTTCGTTAGAATCCATTGGCAAAGTCTTAGATGGGACACTTGTGTATTATTACCATTAGGTATTATTGTTATTTTATTATACATTGTAACTTGTTTATGCAAGCGCTATTCACGAATATGTTGAATTTTTTATTCTTAATACAGGCGTGTTTAGTAAAAACAACGTTATTGTTTGTTATAAATAGTACGTTAAGTCTTGATTTTTTGTAGTACAAATGTGCAAATTTTGTTTCATATTTTTAAAGGTCCAAATTACGTTAATAAATTGATCACACACTATTATAGCTTTTAGTTATTTATTGAAAAAAATTTGGGAAGGTCATGTTAACTACATATTTAAACTTTTTTTTTATAAAAAAAATAGAGGTTAAATTGAACATATTTAACCAATTTTTAAAATAAATAGATATGTTTATTTAAAAATATGGACGCTTTTTATTCTGAAAAAAGTACTGCCTGTATTTGTTCAAAACATCAAATTTATTCTAAGTGAAATTGTAAAAGCCCAAAACATTTTTTCTTGATTTTATAAACATGAGGAAGAACATTGTCGCTACACAAAAAATGAATAAAAATTACTTTTGTTTTTATAAATATTTGTAATCCAGGAATAAATTCATTAAAAAGAGAAATACAAAGCCCAGTCAGAAGTTTGCTTTTATAAGGTCACACTTATTGATTTTGCGAATTAATGACCAATCTGCGATCATGGCCTTTGCAAAGTTATTTTGTTTTAATTTAAATTGGCAATGAGTTAAAATTAAAAGACAAAGCACACGAGGCACTGAACTTGACATACTTTTAATCTTGTTTTCTGTTTTTGTCTGACTTTAAATTCAATAACAGATCAAATAAAAGCCAAAGCCAATGTTTTCTTTGTAGTTAATAGTCTTGGAAGTTCAGTTGATTGCACTTGAATTTGGAAATATATTGTAAAGATGTCGTTATCAGGATTGAGCATCAAAAAATATGAAATTTTTAATTTTTTCCAGGTTTGGACCAAGAGCTTATACCATGCAACGCCACTTACGGCCACATAAACATCGTAACAAAGGACCTCATCAACTTCGCTAATACCCACATTGTGCGCTCATTTGAATATCTTTTGATGGCGACTCATTACGGCAATTATCAGATGAACAGAGCTGGTTTCGAGAAACTCTTCCGCGAATTGTCCGATTCCAAATGGCACGAAGCTATCGAACTCATTGAACAAATAACCACTCGTGGTGGAGTAATGGAATTCGTGCCGCCGAAAGCATTGAATGGAATTGAGAAAACTAATAATGTTTACCAATTGTACGAAATTCAAAGTGTCGCCAAAGCTTTAGATATGGAAAAACAATTAGCACTTGAAGCTTTCAACATCCACAAAGAGGCGAGTGGAAGGAGTGAGGGTAAACACGATCCTGAAATTTCTTCGTACATCGAAAAAGAATTCGTGCACGATCATGCCAAGACTATCCGAAAACTAGCAGGATATGTTACCGATTTGAAATCGATTCTTAGCGGACCTGATGGGTCTTTGGGATTGTTCCTGTTTGATGAATATCTTCAAAAACAGTAATTTCCGTTTTGATTTTGTGTAGAAAGCAAGTTAATTCATTTTTATTAATAATGTGTTTATATAGACCCAATCATTGTGATAGGAATCAACATTTTTTATTGTAAACTATGTTACTTATGAGTAAATATTACTATTTCCAAATAAATTTTTGTTAATTTTGTTTTCCTTTCTAAAATGAGTAATTTTTCGAACTTTGATCTGTTTTCTACTCACCACAATTATATTGTTATTGCGAATTATTATTGTTCTGTTTGATTGACAAGATTTGTTCGATGTTGTGCAAGCATTACGCAATAACCTACATAAAAAAGAATGTGAATAACAGTACCAAGAAAAATAAATTTTGCGTATTTCGTTTCAATGGGTTCAAGGGCGTAAAATCATGAGTCGCATTTGAAATTTAATTTTTTTATTTGCAATAATTTATGAGCAGGAGATTCTTTTGTTTAAAGTTTAAAAAATATGTTTGACATATTTTAATCTCAAAAGTGAACATTTTATATGCTACAAACTTTCCTAGTAGTGAGTAGTCATCATGGAAACTACCGTCCTATGACTTCCCATAAACTACGGTGTTTGCTCAATGCGTTTTTATTAGACAAAATAATTTGTTAGAGCAGACTGCAATTAAAACTTTTATTAAGTAATGATAGGTGCTTCAAGTGTGGAATAATTATTCATTTTTTACTAATCACTAATCAGTAGTACGTGTATGGATACGTGACCGATTTAAGAGGCAGATTAGTATTTTTGTTTTCTAAGATTTTGACAAGTTTCTAGACAAGTAAAGGAAGTTTTCCAATTGTAACAAGCTAAAATAGTACTGTGCTTCACAGATAAACGATAAAATTGTTACATTGTAACAAAATTTGTTCGAATACTTGTAATAAGTCTGAAGTATATTTTTGTTAAAAATTTTTATTTATGAATTTCTTATTTAGAAGCTACTTTAAAAATTGTTTCTGGATTATCACAATTGATATGCTAGAACTTTCTTGAGGATTATTTTTATTGATGTGTTATAGGTACTTATTTTAATAGTATTTTTCTCTATGTGGGTGACTATCTTGATTTTAATTTTACTTTTATTGTTCTTATAGACATTGACTTGACATAATCTTCAAATCTACACTCGAAAAATGTTTCATAATTGTATAAATATGAGTGGCAAACACTCAAAGTCCGAATAGGATGTTAAAAATCCACGTGTTGACCGATAAAAAAATATACAAATTAGACTCAAATTCAGTTTTATTTTTGTATATTGGGAATTTTAACAAGGCGCTTTTATTACAGTTAAGGTGAGTTAAAATTCATAGTAAGCAGTAGTCATTCAAAAAATTTCAATAAATTTTATATTTAGAAATCAAATTACTGCTTATTTTTTAAAAACTTTTGTATAGATATTATTAATTATTTATTATTATATTGCATATGCAATGATTTGGTAATGTTTTCCAATTGTTTTAACAAACAACTCTGTACCCAATGCTAAATTCTTATTCAAGAAAGCAACTTTTTGTTTTTTTTTACAAGAATGCAGAATTACATACGAATACCTACATCTGAAAAAATTTATAATAAAAATTGATTTTTTAAGTTAATGTAGTTTATTTTTGTGGATAAATAAAAATTAATAAGAGGTATCTGAACTTTTCCATTTATGGAAAACTAACTAATCTTACTGCTTCAAATGCATCAATAAAAAGGTCTAATCAGCAACCCCATATTATGAATATTTTTCTGTTTCTAGTAATTTTTAAACTCATCACATATTTTATAAGGAATAATTTATGTTTGATTTTTTTTTTTCTATCTAGAATCCTTCTATCGTGGTTTTTCCTAGAATGTTGATAATAAGATATCACGTGTGCATTAATCAGTAGTCGGCAGTATCAGTCACCATTGGTCATCCTGTTACGATGATGGTGCAGTAATGAAATGCTAAAACTGATGCAATTTCTCAAAAGATTTACCAAAATGACGCAAAACGTAAAAGCGGAAAAGTAAAAATACTTATTTACAAAAAATAAAAAAATATAGTTTGAAAAGAAAATGCAATTAAGAATTGTTAATACAGAAAATAGGTTTTATGTGATTACTTTACAAGCCTAAATTGAAATTTGAAATTATATCCATCTTTTTATTTTCGGAAATAAAAAATATTCCTATTTGTGCTTTTGTAGGCAACCCAAAATACACAGCTTTATCCGATTTTCACATGATCATTACAAAATGGAAAATTGTTTTTCTAAAAAGGATTTATTATCAATATTATACATAATAAATTTATTGTTATACACATACACCAAGTCTATTTTTAATCTTAGTTGGAAACCCCAGATCAGGTGCTATATTTTTGGTTCCTTGCCAATAAATAATGCCAATTATTTAGTTTGTAAATATGTACTTTAGCTCAGTATGTTGTTTACTATTCTATTTTTATTTCCTTGAATTTGCTCTGTTAGGTTAGAACAATTATTCATGTCTAAATTACTGAAACATATCACGAAAATGTCGACTATCGACAAGAATTTGCTCAAAAGCAAATTCAGAGGCTCTCTATTAGGCTCATTACTAGGTGACAGTTTAGGTGCCCCCTTTGAAGGTGATGTAATAACGTCGGGGGAAAAACTCGTCATTCAGAAATATTTCGATAAATTGGAAACTCCGGATTTGAAAGGTTAACTCATTTAGGCGGGAAGTGGTAGTAAAAACTAATTTTAGGGCCCAAAAGGTGCTACACGGATGATACCGCAATGATGAAAGAAGTGGCAAAAAGCCTAATTGATAAACCTGAGATTGATTATAAATACATGGCGAAATTATTCGCGAAAGAGTACTTTTCAGAGCCTCGTAGAGGTTATGGCCAAAATGTTGTTGAGGTTTTTAATAAATTGAGGAAATCAAAGTTTGAGGATATCTTTAAGCCAGCAAAGGAACAGTTTAACGGGTCTGGCTCTTTTGGCAATGGGGGTGCAATGAGAATTGCTCCCGTAGCACTATATTTCTATAATAATTATGATGCTATGATAGAAGTTGCAAAAAAATCAACAGCAATAACGCACACTAATTATTTAGGGGTTCACGGGGCTGTTTTGCAATGCATTGCAGTCCATCAGGCTTTATCTTATGACCCTAAAGATGCAATTCAACCAAAAGAATTTTGCGATGAAATTATTAAACAAATTAAGGTGGTGGAAAGTGAAAATGATGATGGGTTAGTATTTGTTGCGATTTAATTTGATAAAAATTTAGAATTATAGATTGGGCTTAGATGATCAAAACCCATATGAGGATAAATTGAAAACCGTTGGTTACTTTATGGACATAAAATATCATGAGGAATTGGACGAAGAAGTTGCACAAAATTTGGGAAATTCTATAGCAGCGTATGATTCAGTTCCAACTGCGATTTATTCTTTTTTGAGAGCTGTGCAAAATGATATTCCTACTGTTAAAGTATGATATTTTTATACATAATTGAATTAATTTAAAATCTAAATTGCAGACTGATAATTTATTTAGGAGGACGATACAATATGCAGTTACATTAGGTGGTGACACTGATACTATTGCATGTATGGCGGGTGCTATAGCTGGGGCTTACTTAGGAGAAGACGCTATTGATAAGAATATGGCCAAACAATGTGAGGGTTACGAAATGATCGTAGATTTAGCTGATAAGTTGTACGAAGCGGCTGTGAAATGAATACAATGATTATAATAATAAATCAAAATTTTAAATTTGGCGCTTTTTTCCCCCATAGATGTCGCCCATGTAATTGACGCTTTTGACTTTTCAAAACGTCAAATTAAATTTGACAGTTACTTTAGGCAGTAGGAAAAGGGTATAAAATAGTTAAATGGTAATTTCCTCCAGTTAATTGTGTATTTATTTCAGTTCTTACCAGTTTAGCAACCGGTTGTTTGTATTTTGTCACTATTAATTCGAGTGCATTGTGCGGTGTTCGTAGCCGCGCCCAGTTTTTTCGTGTTAGTGTGTTCATAATACTCTGCCACCATAGGCCTATCAGATACAGCTTTAATGGACATGGTTGTCTCAAATCTGCAACAACAACGCGCCGTAACCGAGCAGCTTAGGCGCGAGGCTGCCATCAAACGTTTGCCAGTGTCTGTCGCAGTGGCCGATATTATCAAGTACATAACTGAACACGAGCAAGATGATTGTCTCCTTGTTGGATTTTCGAGCCAACGGGTCAACCCCTTCAGGGAGAAGGCCCCCTGTACCCTGTTATAGATGGGGCGAATGTGAATGTTTATAAGTGTAAGAGCTTTTTTTCTCTAAGTAAGTCTTCTTGTACTGCTATGTAATCTAAGTTTGTAATCTGCTCCACTAATAAATTATTGTAAAGATTTTCGTGTTTTTGTGGGGTCAATGAAACAAAGCTTAACAACTAAATTATTTATTGTTAAAATGTATACAAGTATATGATTATATTATTTTGTATTATAGCAAAAACTATGATAAAAACCACATGAATGAGACACTCCTCTTGTTAGTGAATTTTTTGAATGGGGATATATCTAATTTTTGAAAAGTTAAATACTAGAGCTACAAGTTGATTTATCACAGCTAAGGTAACATGCTTAATTCACTAATAAGAGATTTATTACAACCATGAATAATAGGTGGTTTGGGTGATTACAATGTGTGGGGTATATGTGACGTGCCCTTAGTGAAGTATTGTTGCGATGTTAGAATTTGTGTTAACCAACGTTGTTTGGTGTTAATGTGAACGTGGCTGTGCAGTGATTGAGCAATTGGGTTACGCCAGGACAGTAATTTATTGGCAATTCAGTCTTATTTAAATACTTGGGGTATGAGGCAGCCCTAGAAAACAACGAAAAAACACTAGCAATTTCCATAAAAAAGCACTTACATTTTAAAACGGAATTTCCAGTACATCGTCCATTGTGGATCAGTTGGTCTCCCCAGACTCAGCCTCTTTCTCTTGGTACAGCCTTAGCAAATCCATGGCATCTTGTGCTTGTCTTTTCTCACTCAAAAACCTCCCTGACGCTTCCTTCAGTTGTTCAAGAAAGATCTTATCAGGGAAAGTGATATCAACTAAAGAGTCAGGATCCATGTCACTGAGCATTTCCAGTTCCGCACCTCCCAGGAGCGACACGTGGCATAAATTGTGCTTTAGTTTACCGACAAGTCCGGCCAATTCGGCCCCACCTTTACCGTCGTCCGGCTGATCGGTGGAAAGGCGACATGGGGGCGCCGGCGGCATCCACTTCTGGCCCCCGTTCAGAATCATAAGACTGGTGTGCGGCTCAAGCGTAGCGAAATATTCTTCGTCGTCGATTTCAGTCCCGTCCGCTTCGAGGACGACAGTAATATCACCGGAGACGTTCAGTTTTTCGATGACTTTGGAGGTTAGGTCTTCGAGGCTAGCGGCGACAACCCCCTTTTTGGTTTCGCGCGACGAATCGGTGATTTTAAAGGGCTTGCCTTGTTGGATATTTGCATCTTCCATTGTATTTGCCACCGTTTACATTTAAAAATGAGTCGTGTGTGTGCTGCACGAATTCTTTGTTTGAAATGTGGTTGCCGCCCTAACTATGACTCTACATGCATGACTGTATGACTGGTTGCCTGTGCGCATGGCGTACAAAGGGTCAACTACGGTCATGTTGCACGATCAATATTGAAACACAGGGCCGAACTTGAACCTGAAACTCACGGCTAAACACTGACATTTATTTTTATTATTGCTCGAGTTAGATATGAATAAAGAATGTAATAGTTATTTAATAAACAAGTTTGATGAACAATTGAGTTTGTTTTACAACACCTACATTTATTGATTGCATCTTACTTACAAATTTGGAGATATTCAAATAATAATTCATTTAATACTGAATGATTTTCTAGAATGAATGATTAGTCAATAACTAACTATTTTGTATTACCTAACATTAATATCACGAGATAGTTAAAAGAAAAAGTAAATTGAAATTTATGTTTCATCAATGCTGTTTTTATGATAACAATTAAAGTTTGACAAAGATGAATGTAAGCAATTAATCTTTTTAATATTTCCACGGGCTAGCAGGTAATATGGTTTATAACTAATAAAAGTCGACTTTTTAATTGATTTATATGAATACACACGTCATAATTTGTTCATTGTTGGATGTATGAGAATTAGTAGATTATGCAATAAGTTTAGAAAAATCAAGTTTTACTAAACGAGTCCCGTTTGTTTGAGTACGAGTTTGTAACTTGTACCTATAAGTTTAGTAGAACGACTTTTTGAACTATGTTGCGTTAATTAATGCAAATATTTATATTATTTCAAGAAAAATTTTCAAATAACAATCCGGTAATTGTTGTTTGGCTTTATTTACCGGCTCTGATACCGTAATATCTCACTTCCCGGTCTCAAAATGGAGCCGTGAGCTTAATTTACCGAACAGTTGAAATAATTAAATGATATTTACTTCCAACTAAAATGGGTGCACTTTAGGTTTTTTTGGGGTGCTACGAATTTGAAACCTGTTTTAATTGTTATGAGAGAAATTTTGAGAAAATCGTGCCAAGAATTTCAATTTTTTACTGTTTTACTGGATTTATCTATTTCTCTATTGATTCAATTTTTGTTTTTTTTTTTGTATATTACTTAATAACCTTTTGCAAGCCTCACAAGTGCAAGCACTAGTTTCTAGCCGTGTGATACACTACTTTAAATTGTCTCAAAAGTAAAAAGAAAATTCAAATAATTTGCACCAGAGAAGTTACCTACGTGTATTCAGGTTGGCAACACAATACCCAAATTAAACACCAAATTATTAAATTAACTTCAAATTAAAAAAAATATTCAATACATCAAATATTTATTTAATAAATAATGTCACCCATAGGTGGTAATGGACAACTAATATTACCAACATTTAGGGTGGGCTTATAGAAGCCGAATCAAATACTTGATTGCAATTAGTTTTAATTGGTTACGTGATTGGTTGAATTTAATCGCGATTAACTTAATTTTAATTTAATTCACTTTCTGTAAACCCACCCTTGGTAATTTTTTGAGAACCTAATATGTAGTACCGGGGAAAAAACTATTCACCAGTCTAATTTTGTACTCGGGCTGCGCTTTGTCGCAATAGCGTTTCAGACTAACTAGTTGGGGAGCAGGAATTCTAATATGTCGAAAAACCCTTATTTAGGAAGTTGGTCCGGACCCGAAAAATGTCTTTTTGTGAAAATTACTTCAATGAGCATACATTATAACTTATACATTAAATTGTGAATATAATAAACAAGCTTGCTCAAATTACCCAAATTATATAGTATGTTCTCGGATTGCGTTTACAAGAGGAAAAAAAATTATACCTTTGATTTTACGCCAAAACTGCAAAGGAAAATATTTTTAGCTTGACTTGACTTTTAAGGTTCTTTATCTATGACTTTCAAAAATCAAGATTGTAGGACTAGTTTTAAATGTCAGAATTTTTTTAATAAACTGTTAATTTTGCCAATTTCTATCAAGTTATTTCTTTATAATCAAAATTCTGAACTTAATAATACATTTTACAATAGCCAGTCACAAGGAAACAAATTTTTACCTTTGATTTTACGCCAAAAAAGCAAAGGAAATACTTTTTTTCTATAGCAGATATTAAACTATTTGTGTAAAAACTCTTTTGAGTAGATAAAGTAACACTTTAACAGCAAGGGTTGTTTTTGCTTTATCTGAAACGAGCAAATCTGTAATTAAAATTTCATTATTCTGACTCAGTGGAAAGAAAAGTTAATTTTTTTTTTACTTTTGGACATGTAATAATAATAATCTTTTTTTGCTTTTCAAGTCCCATCACATTGGCGATTTTATTTTTTTGACAACGATGTCACTTTGACAATTAATTAATTGAATAATGATCGTTTTTGTTAAAAATGACTGTTTTTTTAGAAGCTGTTTTTTTGACTTGCCATTTATTAAAATTATGTTTTTTCACAAACATTTTTGTTATTTAACTTGCGTAAACTTCTTTGTCAAAGTGACATTGTTGTCAAAAAAATAAAACGCCAATGTGATGGGATTTAAAACGCAGAGAAAAAAATACACTAGTTTACACGATTTTTATACCTTAGCTGAAAGTTAATTTCTTATAGATTTTGAGGCACTGAGTTAAAAAAAAAAAACTATTTAAAAAAGTCCGCCACGTTACGTTTAAGAAATATGTAATTAACAAAAATACAAAAACCACCAAAAAACATATTAAAAGTGAGTTATTTTACTTGGTTTTATTATACTTTTTGGATCAGTTTTCTTTATAACAATCCAACAGTTATTTACTAACATATTTTCATTTCAAACCGCTTCAGATCTTGATGAAAACGCTCGTCTTGTTTGTCACTCATGGTCCCTAAATTTTTAGAAAAGAAGTCCAAATGCGAGTGAAATGTTTTTAAGACCTATTTAGACCCATATGGTAATAATTTTACAATAATTCAGCAACAATTTGAATTTAAATAAATTTTAAATCGGGGGCATTTGTTCAGAAAACAGAAAAATTATCGTCAGTAGTTATATGCGGGCAATTAGTGCTAATGAGGTCATTAGCTAATGACCGCTACACTTTCTCTTTAATGACCGCTACACTTTGGCCGCTACAATTTTAATGACCGCTGGGCCGCTGCAACTTTCCCCTTAATTGATTGATTGATTAATTAATTAATAACTGATTTTTATTTAAAGATAAATGAAACAACAAAAATAATAATAATATAAAATTTATTAATAAAGTATAAATTCAATATAAATTCTATAAAATTACTCTTCAATTCCGCTTTCGGACAGCCGATCATCGGGGAACACCACAATTCGTCTAGCGGAGTAATACCGTTTTTCCAAGGGTGAGTCAATGGGCGAAGGAATGTTATGGTCGAAAAATACCCATTTAACCCTATGTCGTCACCGACTTGATTCCAAATCGCCATTCGAATTCCAAGTTCAGCTTTTAATAATTGTATCTATACTAGTGGTAGCAACTTTCTTTATATTAGAAATTAGATATTATAAAAATAAATGTATAATCATTGTAACCTGCACAAAATTTCTTCTCTGAATAGACACAGGTAATTTGTCTAAACGTAGTGTCTACTCTGGAGAAAGTTTGTTTCAAAATGATTTACCTGAATGTGGCCCTATGTGTTCCATTCCTGATTTCAAACTTCGCAAATGAAATAGCTCATTACCCTAATGATTGTTACAACTTTCATTTTTAATGACCGCTACACTTTTGGCCACTGCACTGCACTTTGAATATAAGTAAAGAAAAAATTCTGAAAATATTCAGTGTTGTTCTTGTGTTTGCTCTTGGAGAAGATGTCTTGGTGCATTGWGAAATCGTTTTCTGGTTAAATTAAGGTAAGCTTTTAAACAATATATTAAATAAATATTTATTTGTAAACTTGTGTTAGATGCATCTGTACCTTTAAAAAAAGGTCGAAATTAATTATTATTCTCTAAATGTTTAGGAGACGCCACAAGCGAATAAGTAATCAGATTGCTTGAATCCCTTTCTCGTCGTATGATGGCAAGCCAAATTAGAAAACCGTCAATTTATAACCACCTCGGTAAGTTTTACCAATATGTTAAAATTATTTTAATTCTATTTATCATTTAGATGACATTGTAGTATGCCCTTTTAACAAAAACCATCTACTAGTATGGCATCGTCTTGAAAAACATKTTTGGAAATGTCATCGAGAAGAAAAAGAGCAGCAACTATTAGACGAGAAAAAAGAAGAAGAAGAAACAAGTTGGGATCATTATGATGATTAGCTATTTAGAGTATTTAAAAAGTAAGAAAAGAATGGAAGACGATGAAGAATGAAGAAGAAGAAGAGGAGAGATATATAATAATAAGTTATAAAAATTATAAATAAATAAATAAATAAATAAATATTTTGAATACACGCGAGCCTTTATTAATAACCATCAATTAATTTAAAAGCCGAAGTCATATTTATCGTGTTTTATTGTAGATTTGTTAATATGTAACAACTGATCCTCCTTTGTATGTCCATCCGAGCGTTTTCGGCTCAGCGCCGCCACGGCGGTGCTGATCCAATTCTTCCGTCCGCGTTCGTGTCCGCGCCCCGCCGCCGCCGCCCCGCATCCGCCGCC